AAGTTCAACATATTTCAGAGATCCCAGTCTTTCTACGAGAGACTCGAGTCTCTCAATTTTTCAGTTTTATTCATTCAGTCTCTCTGTAAGAGACTCGAATCTCTGAATTAACAATTTTATCGTTCGAGTCTCTCATATAGAGACTGTAAGAGATCCATAAAAACACCTAGGCAATAACTGAGAGACTGTGAAAGACTGTGAGAGACCCTATCAGAGACGCTAAAAGACTCTGAGAGACTAGAGACAGACTAAAAATTTTTGTCTATGGTTATACAGAGTAAAAAATTGCTTAAAACGTCTGTCTTTTAGTCAGGAATTGATATTTTCTTTTGTTGATTACCATTTCTTTAAACATATACTGGAAAACCAAAAGGTTCTGTTAGTTTTATCATTTTTTAATTAATTTCATACCCTTTTAGAATCTTTGCCCCTCAGAGTTTTAATTTTAATTTTCATATTTTATATACGACATGGAGTTTGAAGTACTTATAGATTTTCTGAACAATTTCAAGTGGAAAACTTAAATCGTATTATACTTTAGATATATAGACAATAATAAATAAAAGGTCAATTTGCTAAACAAAAGATTTTATAATTCTGATCAATTTAGTACAAATATGAAATTATTTGATAGCAACAGTTCGTAGAGAATGTCACAGAAACATGTTTTAGTCATTTAGAAGTCGTTGATTTCTAGACGGTGTAAGAAATTACTTAAAATTTTTTGAACAAAAATCCGGTATTTCTCCAATAGATTCTTTAATTCTTCTAATTGTTTCTTACTGTCTTCCCTATTGTTTCCCTTCAGTACCAGGGCGATTAGCTCTTCCAAGGGTTGGGATAAACTGTCGGACCATCTCTTTGTTATTTCCGTTATTTGGTCGTCAGAAAGCACCAGGTACTCCTTTATATTTTCGGCTAGTCCAACCAATTTTAAAATGATATTGCTTGCTATCGAAAATGCTTCGCTTACATGCGGATCCTTTCTAACAATCTCGCTTAATTTTTGTATTTGAAAAAAATCTTTCATCATGAATGAAGGGAATGGGGCAAGTGAGAACGGTGCTGAATCTCGAGCAGCCTCTGTATAATAAAAAATATATACATATATAAAACTATTATTATTTAGTAGATTTGAAAATTATCTCGGCTATTTTTTAATTTCAGAGGTTTACGTACAAAAGATTCATGCTTTAAATATAGATTTTCTTATTTGTTACATTGGTTATACTTGTAGATAATTTCGAACATTTTAAAGAATATCAAAAATTCAGCAAAATTCAAACTATATTAATCATTGTTTAAAAGAAATTGGATGTTCTAAAACCTTTATGTAACAAGCATAATCAAAATCCGTTGTCAAACCCTGGTTCATTATTTGTATTGATCGTCAATATTAATATCATTTCTGTATCGAGTTTGATGTCATTTTTAAGACTTACAATTAGCAACAATTAAAAACTTTCGATGCTGTCACTTACTTCTGTATATTGTTACCTACCTGCCAATAATTGTGTAATATATATAATAAAAAGTGTTAACTTACGCGCCCATGGTAAAGCCAAAAGCAGAACAACAGAACAAACAACACAATTCCTAAAAAGCATGTTTGTACGTGGTGAGCGAGTAGGAACCAATAAATAATACTAAATTTTTGCAGAAAATATAACAATTTATACCCAACGAATGGCTATAGTTCGTGATTTTGAACTGTTAGATTTCGCACATTTTATGATAAAAATAGGTAGTTAACTTATTTTTAACAATTTCGTGAGTTAGGCAATTGTAGATTGTTTTAACTCTGTTAAGATTAATACAAAATAATAACGTGTTCGTTTGTGTAATTATAATTTGTTTAATATTATATAAAATTTTGATTCAAAAGAAATTTATAGGAAAACATCTGACTTTTTTTTATTATTAAAAATGATGATTATAAGTATTCTTTTATTGAAACGTTATTCTTAAGAGTTATTCCGTTTTTATAAGATAATCAGCAAAATTGTTGAAAATATCTGTAACTTCATTTATCTATAAACACCACCCTGTATGTGGGATCTCTTTTAATTATTCATGGAGCTGTCGTAACGAGAGGTCATAGTCATCATAATAAAGAACACACAAAACTCAGCGGTGGTGGTTTTGAAATGTATTAAAGCAGTTATAGTAATAATAGTAATGAACCCTTGTAACAAGCGTGACAGGGTAAGGGCTCCTCAAGTATTATTTTACGTTTTGCTTGACAGTGATTAAGCAATACGTTTCGTATTCCATATAATACAAGATTTAGTGCCAAGTTCACTAAATTCATTATCGTAGTTTTAGTTTTACTGAAAAACATTATTTTATGTCATTTATAAAAATTGCGAATAATAGAGGACCTAGCTCGGATCCCTGTGGTACTCCCAAGATCACATTAATGTCTTAATTTTACATAACTATTGTATTTATCCTATGTAATATCTTTCCCAATGTTGAATTAGAACTGTTTTAATGAAAGCGACCAGAGGGGCGAAATTTTATTTATTTAATTTGCAATCTTAAAGCGACGTTTCGCCTTTTTGGTCTAAGGTAGGTTACTACTCGATTTCACTGAAACAGTTCTAATGTATTTATGTTTGATAAATAGCTCATAAAGCACTTCAGGGGATTCCAGCCTACAAATTCGAAAGATGCGAGTTTTGTAGAGAGAATAATATTAAGTAATTTTAAAATGAATGAAAATCAAATCTAAATTATTTGGACGAAAAATGAGATCGAACATGTTGGTTTTGAGAACTGACCAGTCAATCAAAAAGACCGATAATAATCGAGATGAAAGCATTTTTATTTATGAGTATATTTATTTGAATATCGATACGTATAAACTTGAAACCTACGCATATAAAAAATTGAAGCATAATCTGTGATTAAGTAATCTCGTGGTAGCAGAACAATTGATTGTTTATCTGTGTTAGGTAACATTAACACTTTTCCACGTGGAAATGCCTCGTAAATATTTAAGGTGTTCACTTATGGTGATGAAACGTGTCAAGCTTTAGTGCCGTTGTTATTAAAGGAAGGATCAATGAATCAGGTAAGTGTTGAAGGATCATTAAAGGACGATGGTCTCATTAAATATTTAACATACGTAGTGTTAAATGTAACAACGTTGTTTAGGTCGAAGGGTGCTTAAAAGCTCTGATTTGACTTGTTCACGCCCCTTCGATGACCGCAACGAACATATAAAAGTTCAACGCTAACAATTCTTGCGTCATAACAATTTTTAAGGGTGTTCTTTAAGGGAAAGTATTATGGGTAAGACAAGCTTCTTTGTTTTTTTTTTTAATATTCAATAGAACTATTTACTAATTGTGTTAACTATGGGTAAAATTAACAACAAATAAGTTCTTAATGGCTTTTATTCAACAATTATCGTAAACGTTATTTATGATTGATTATTTTCTATAGGAAGATCGTTACCTGCTCCTGTTCCTTGCAATGTTTGCGGGGATAAATCGTACGGAAAGCACTACGGTGTCTACTGTTGCGACGGTTGTTCGTGCTTCTTCAAACGAAGCATTCGGCGACATATTTTTTATTCTTGCATCAGTACGTTTATTAAACGCTTGCTCACATCATGATTAATATTTTCTGTTAATCCTTACAGCGGGCAAAGGACAATGTATTATAGACAAAACACGACGGAACTGGTGTCCTTACTGTAGACTAAGACGCTGTCTAGCTGTAAGAATGAATGCTGCAGGTAAATGTTTGAAATTAACGAATTAAAAAATAGTTCTATTTGTCTATTAATTGCAATATTTTTAGCNAAAAACTTTTCGAACCGCCTCGCTTTCATTTTAAATATTGAGTGGGTTAATCGAGCCGAATGAGTTAAGTTTTCGGTCGATCGAAAAGTACGTAATGCAAATTCATGCGAGTTTGAGATTAAGGCGTGAAACATCCAATCAAACGAAGTGTTAAACGGCTGTACATATAAATGGTAATTTGTTACAATGCAACCCGTCAACAGTGAATGAGGTACTTGCAATGGAAATGGATTTTCCGACAGTCGTACGCGTTAGTTGGATGCCGAGTTGACGTTAATAAAATTAAACGTGCGAAAGGGGTAGCTCATGTGTAACGAGTGTGTTCCAGAATATAGTACACAAAAATATTCATCTCTTACCAAAACTATGATTTAACACCTGCACTAATTAATGAAACTCAAACTGGTTTGAAAAACTCATAAAACTGATTCTCAGTTGAACCAATATCCACATCTTTATAAGATTTAGACTATCATGCGCAGATTTTTCGATCAAAGTAGCGCAAGAATTTGATTGCATGTAGTACTTATATTAAAAAACATTTAGTACTTAAGGGTACCAATACCACCCTATAAATAACGGTTAGACCCGCTCAAAAATCATCTTATAAGCATAACCTTACTTTAAATTACTTCTACAGTTACTATTAATATACAATTATATTTAACTAATTATGTTTATGAAGATATGTTTGGCATTGTATGTATTGTATATTAACGGAAATAACATCTAGAACAAGTGCTTGCAGATAGTATGAAAGTTCAAAGTTCAAATCGCGTCCTATTATTAGGTTAGTCGTGTTATTTTGGAATTAAACGGCTTTCCATCAACTTTGCAAAATGCCTTTTGTAATAAAATTCAACTGTCTGTCGTGTTTTTGTGCTCGTGTGAGCGTTGGAATGCTGTAAGCAGTTAATCTTATCTCTTCTTCCCACGAATGTTTTGCAAGATTTATTCTCGCGGTTCCTTCGGGTCTTAAGCAGCGCATTAGCTTGTCATATTTAATACGAACAAACAATTAGTAATACACTTGTTTTAACTCTCTCACAAAAACTAAGATACCTGCTAACATAATAATAGTACGTGGAAGGCTCAATGAGTTTATATCGAGAGAAACACGAAAAACCTCTAAAGAAAAGGTGATTTTTGAAAAATTCATGACTTTGTTAATTTAATGTTTCCAGGATTAGTCTTCCGGGAAATATTAGATGAATAGGATGAGTGAAAACGAAAGGACCTGTAGAGAACTTTCTACTCCGATTGCTGTCAAAGATTTTGCATCAAAATGTCTATTTAGACTGGCCTGTAAAGTATTACAAAGTTTTACACGAATAAGATCGATAAGAACTAAAGGAATTGTAGAGAACACTTCTACTCCAGACAGAATTTACATTTACTCTTCATGAAAACTTTTTTTGGTTTCGTTTCGTACAAAATCCCTAAAAAATTTTAGTTGGGAGAAATAGGTAAAAAAAAATAATACGACGGTCTACAGATACTACAAAAATTGCATCATAATTATATTGCTACGATGGGAGGGCTGTGCTATATTTACATTTTTAAAATTCATTTAAACCTAAAGGACGTGTTAATAAAAACATTTTTTGTGCAGTACGTTTAAATTTTAAGTTAAAGAAATTCGGTAATAGGTAATGACAAAGAAAAGAAAATTCAATTGTCTCTACAGCATCTGTTGTTTTCCTCGATTCGTATTTTTACAAACTTTCTAGTTTGTCCCACGTATATATCGTTCCCTTTTAAGATGCAAATTACCCTGTATTATGTTCCGGAAAACAAGCAGTAAAACGTGAAATATTATTGTCCCCTTTTCCATAAAAATTAATAAACATAGATTTAATATTTTAATAATTTCGGGATTTTCTAAATTCGCTACTTTATTGAGATCATTAAAGAGTGAGTAATTTCATTGATGTTGAAAGGCAAACAGTTTAATTTTAAGTACAAATAACCAAATTATTATAACATAAGATTTGGAGAACATTAAAAAGTAAAGAAGGCGTATGTACCACACTCAATTGTCTTTGTAGATAATTTTCTAAATGCTACACGTATTAATAATAAGTTAAAAACACTTAAGTATCTTTAAGGATTGTCTACATTAGGAATCAATGAAGATGTACAAACTATCAGAAAAAGATTTTTCACATTCAGACTACACACGAGAAATTAATTTATTTACATTATAAAACGTACATGTAGATGGTTATAAACATTAAAATAAATAATTAATTCGATCCTTTTACAACGATTATTACTATCTCAATAAATTAAAATACTTTCGTGTTTGAAATATTAATATTAAATCCAAAATTAAAATGAAATATTCGATAAAGTTTAATTCGTTTGAAAATATATTTTCTATATATTTGTGTATTTATTTATAGCACGTCCATTATTTTTTATAATTTATATATTCACATATACATATATAAATATTTTAAATTCAACAGTTAACACTTAAAGTTAAAAAATAATCAACATGAGTGATTATCGCCCTGCATAATCACTGCCTTATAC